TTCCCCAATTCGGCTGCTGATCAGTTTTAGCAAGCGGCTGAATCAGGGAAGCTGAGGGCAGAGCAGCTCCAATGGTCCGGCTGCCCAGAGCACTTCCGGGTTCCTGATGGTGCCGGACCATCAGGAGTACCGGACCATTGGAGTTTTACTGTACCTAGTTCATTTGGGTTACTTATTCGTTAGCTGTATTGCCATAGCACCTCCAAGCTCCGGTCATGGACCATGTCCTCACTGTGCTAAGTGCTGTACAAACAGAACATTTTTACCTTACATTAACAAAGCATCTGTGATGGGGTCTGTCAGGTCCTCTCTCTGCACCTGACTGGAGGCATCAGACAAACACCCCTCAACTCAAGGAAAACCCACGCAGGCCAAGCGATCAACTAAATTTAGTGCCTAGAAGAGCCAGGAGGAGACCCTGACCAATTCAGAGCCAGCAAGCCAAAGACAGCTTGCCTGTTCACTGCGTGAGGCTGGCATAGAAGAGGTGTTCCTCAGTGCTAACTCACAAGCTCAAGGCCTAGCCAGGGCCTCTGCTTGAAGCACCACGACCACAACGTTCCTTTTATTTTTCTTTGCTAGTTTAAAGATGGGCACAGCCAAATTCCAGGGTGTTTATCATTAACCCTATAAAGGGTGGGGAACCTTCTGGGCCAGGGGACTTTGACCCTCAGGGGGAAAAAAAATAAAATAAAATCAGTCAGGGGCCGCACACAAAACAAACACTCATTGACATGGCCCCCCGACAGAGGCAGAAAGACATTCCCCACATTCCCCTCACACACCAGAGCCTAGCGGACCCCAGGCTAGAAGATTTTGTGTGCTCCAACTCTGCAGTGGGAGGGGGGCTAGCCCCTGGAGTCTCAGGGGTCAGATTCCAGGAAGCCAGATGTGGCCCTTGGGCCTTAATTTCCCCACCCCTGCCTTATAGACTGGCGCCAAGCTCATGACACAGGCCATTCAGCTCCAGGCAGGCTGCCTCAGGGTCCCTAAACATTTTACAGCAAATCCACAGAGCTCTTCAACACAGAATTGATTCCATAGGACCACTGGCAAACCCAAGTGGAGTGAAGGAAAGCAAGAACGAAGGACAAAGAGTGAACAGGTGCTCTTACAGAAAGGGCCACATCTCTTTAGTCTCCGTGCAGAATCATGTTCTGAACCTCATCCTGTCCTACTCCACACACTAGATGAATAGAAATCAGGTCTGCACAACAGAAGACTCAAGTCACCCTGATGAGTCACAAGCTTGCAATTAAGATATTCAAGCAAGATGCTTACAATACTAAAGCTCTCTCTTTAGGTGTCCAATGTTATAAGAAATGCCACAAAGCATTTCAAACTCAAGCTGGCGGGGATGAGGTGCTTTTCTTTCAGTGTTCCCTTCCCATAGAAGCTATTAAAAATATTCTGCCCAAAGCAAGAGACCATGAATATTTCTTTAGCACTATAACCTCAAAGGGCCCATATTTTATACAAATGTATTGTCTGGATACTGAATATTTAGTGTCAAAATGAATGGAGTGTATCATTCACGAGAACTGACCAGCTGCTTTACAAGTCCAAATTTAAGTCTGATGTGACCAGAAAAGCTAGCGATTTACACCCACTGATGTGTGTTCTGAATTGGGCATCACGGGAGCCTAACACAAGTCATGTAGGAATTGGAAAAAAAGACAACAAACCCACCCAGTTTTAGGTGTAACTAGGGACTACAGTGCAATTATATACAAGACTTGGACCACTAGTCTTGATTATGTTTAGAGGGGAGGTACAGAAATATGTTTCCTTAATTATTAGTCCAATACTGAAATATTTACCTTAAAAAAAAAAAAAAAAAAACACAGAGTGACATATGGAAATAATTGTCCTCACCTGAACTAATGCAGACAGATCCAACTTACACAAACCCCCAGGCACAGAGACTAGAGCTGCTAGCAAGAGTGTGGAGACC